CCTTGCTGACGTACGTGCCAATCCATGCCCGGTCTTCATCCTCGTGGGGGCAGGAACCAACCCACTGTGCTTCAGCACAAGCACGACACAGAGGAAATAACAACTTGCTTGGCCGTGGTAAGGAAGAACGGGATGGTAGAGGTCAGTGGGTGGCAAGACTTGGTGCTGGATGAGTCCGTGGAGGTCGAACAAGTCTGACACCGGAGGATGATCTTTGATCTCGGGATGCCCCACGGGGTAAGTGCCATACTTGCAGATGTAAGGGTACAGTGAACAAACGTCCACATATTTGATTTCTTCATCTTCTTTGGCTTCATAGCACAACTTGGTGGCATTGGTGCGTCCTCCATAGAAGGCTTCTCTGGGATCCAACGAGTCAGGCATGTAAGCATGAGGGCCTTGCAGTGTGGTCAGGAATGCTCTCAGATCAGTGTTGTCTTTCGTTTGTTTCCGAAAATCACATTCCCACAGGGTCACCACTTGGGCGATGTTGGGATGTTGACGTAACACCCCCAGCCAGTACCTTGTATGATGGTATCGTTCCCAAGGGGTTGTACCCAAGGTCCTGTGGGGTTCACATCGGCCCATCTTGTAACAGCGAGTACATCCATGCCAGAAACAACCCAAGTATTCGTACACGGTGCGTGTCTCAGCATCGTAGCCGTCCACCGTGTAGCGACTTCCGTCAGCACAGTCAAAGCCTACTTCTCTGCCATTCCGGGCATGCCGGATGTGGAGGTCGGGGTGTTGATGCATGACCCATGGGTAGCGTCACTGCTTCATAGAAAGGGTCCACGTTGTTCTGTTGGATGAACATGTTGCGGAATGCAGCACAGCAAAATGTCCACATCACTCTGGCAGTAAGTCAGCAATTCCTCATTCAGATCAAAGACAGCTCCTTCAGCCACTCGTGCATCGTACCAGGCCAAGAAAGCTTTGCGTTCGGCAGAAAACATACCGTCAGGATCGTAGGTAGACACGGGAGGATAAGGGCCCACATAGCCTTGGTGAGCTTCAGTGTTGAAGAAGTGAGGGAAGTAACCTTTCTTGAGTTCCATCAACGCAAACGTTTTGGGAAACTGCTTCAGAGCCATCGTGAGGAAATTGAGTGAATCTTTGAAGACGAGGCGCCCCATGGTCATGTGAAAAGATGAGATTCCCTCGAAGTGTGACTTGAGGTGGTTTCACGAGATGTTGATGGAAGTACTGTAGGAGCAAGTGACCGTCATAGCCATGGTAGTTGTGTGCAATGACCAACATGTCGTCATCATCAATGGTAGGGGAAATGTCGTCTTCGCCGTCGTCTTGTTCCTCGTCGTCATCTTGTTCTAGTTCTACATCATCATCATTGGGTTCTGGCGATGGCGGTTTGGATTGTTTGGAGGCGCGCCCTGACGACTGCTGGTGGTGTGGCTTACGTTTCTTTTTCTTCTTCTGTTTCATTTCTGCCAGACGCATCAGCCAGTCGCCCATGTCCTTCAAGGTCGTAGATCCCCAAAACACTTTGATGCGGCTAGGTCCTTCTCCTTCTTTACGCCAGGGACACTTTTCGCACAGTTGATCCGAGGCCTCAGAAATACATTTTCCACATCCCAGATGCACCACACACAAGTTGGGAACATGAGTCCCTTGATCTTGGGTACATTCAAAATCGTAGAAGATGAACTGACGCTGTTGTCGTTCTTTGTCTTCCTCCTTGTTTTTACCCTCTTCGTTTTGCTTCGGTGGTTCGATGACGGTCATGTAGCACTGGTGGTTGGCTTTCAAGGGTTCTTTGCAGATCTTGCAGTCACGATTCGTGCCACACTGGTGGTTGGCCATGCCCAGGATTTTTCTCACGTTGACTTTGGCATAGCAACGATGACATGTGTGGATGGTGGAGCAGGTGCTCGGTTGCTTGGCGGAGGCCTTCCGATGGCGTTGAAAGCAGTACGAGTTTCGGAACCACCCGCAACATTGGAGACAGGAGAGTCCTTCACTGACCACATCGCCACAGTATCCAGGACATTGGCACCAGTAACATTGAAATTCTCGGGTGCAGCAATGATTTTCAGGGGTGCTGTATCCTTGGTCACAGATTTTACAGTAGTAGGGATAACCTGTAAAAGCTGGCATGGATGTAATGACATCGTAATGCTGATGGTGGTGATACAGGTGAAGGATCTTGGTGGGTTGAGCCACTTCACTCTTGTACAGGAGACGATTCATGACATCTTGGGAGTACATTTTGAGCTGATAGTAAGGTGCCAAACGTTGACTGAACAACTCCCACGTGGCACGTCCTGTACAAGGGCCTTCGGGGATCTTGAGTTGGTGAAATAAGCCCTTGGCGGCCTTCAACTGCGCTGGTTTACGATGGTCACACAGGTATTTCCATTGCTTCGTCCATTCTTTGGTCACAGGATCGGGTTTGTGTTCATGGTGACTGGCCACGACCAGGGCATGGGAAAAGCAGAGCTGATCCTCATTCTTGATTTGAAAGATGCATTGTTTCTTTTCCAGGAAAGTGTTTAAGCCGACGAGGTGCCTTGGCCGGCCGTGTCCCTGGCCTAGGAGAGCCGGATCATCTAAATGCAGTAAGCGTATATCCATGGTGTCATCGATATGCAACTCGTGGTTACTTTGCTGTACTTTTTCCACTTTGGCCAGGATGTGTTCCCCCTGGAGGTCCTGCATGTGCTGTAACGTGATGGGGATGGGTGTATCCAGGGCTGGATGATCCAGGATCAATCCCACGCGATCACCATCATGTCCGTTCACACTGTTTCTCAGGTCTAACAAGACAGCATCAAACTGTTCTCTGAGAACGACGGGGAGGTCTTCAGGTTGTTGACGCTGCAGCCAAGCTGGATTGAACTTCAGCTTATAGCGATGTTGTGTGCCCCGGAACTTCTTGCGTGTGATTTGGGTCGTCGGCTCCAGCTGGTAGGGCATTGGCGCCTCTTCAAGTTCTTCTTCCTTCTCTGCTTCGTTCATTCGTGGTGACGGCATGGTGAGAACTGTCAAGACCCACGCTGAGTCTGGTCTATATAGGCCACGTCACCCTATGACGTCACAATAGGTCGTCCTAAGCGTGGCAGGATGAATGACGTCACAGGTTTTTTACCATGGGCATGCCCATGGGTTTTTTCCCTTGGGCTTGCCCATGGGTTTTGCCCATGACGTCACACTAGCCTATCGACCTGATGAGTCATGATGGGATTGGTGCGAACCTGATGCAACCGGTGCGAACCTGATGCGTCAAAGTGACGTCATCAACGTCAGCTATAAAAACGAGGTTTTCCAGCTCTCCCCATCAATTGCTCACTGAAACTGGAAGCCTGCAGTCGTCTCCCGCCTCCGCCTCCTTCCCTTGCCGCCTGTGCGAAACAGATGACCACAGTTATCTGCACTGCCCCAAGGTGACCTGTACCGAGTGTGGTGCTCAAGGCCATCGCCATTACGTATGCCCCGAGACGGACAACAGCAGCAACAAGCACGATAACAACACCTGCTACAACTGTGGAAAAAAACGAAGGCCATCTCAGTTACGACTGTCCACATCCCTGCCGGTACTGTGGTAAAGAGGACCATAAGAGTATGAACTGCACCAACAAGCCCCAGAAACGTGCCGCTCCTGTCAACCATCCAAGTCAACTGCCAAAGAAAGTGGATAAACTTGAAAGCAATCGTCTACTGACACTACTCCATTACAAGGTCATCCTCGTTCAAGACCGCATAGACACCATGCACTCTGTACTTCAACGCATCTTGGAGTTTGTCGAACCCATGGACGATTCAAGCAGCACCGCCTCCAGTGGGCCACCATCACCACGATAAATGCCATGCCACGGTGATCTCTCACCAACCAATACCAACGGCTCTTTTCAGGGCCACCAACCTCGCTCGAAAAGAAAACCTGAGTGACAAAAGCATTAACCACACACTTCTCTAGCCACGCCATCGTCCCCCCTCACCACTCTCCCTCCCTCCCTCTCCTTCCCTCTCCGTCCCGTCCCACGTCCGTTCCGCCATCTTGACAGGCGCCTACGTGCGCGAGATCCCGCGAGAGTCCATGAGATCCCGCGAGATCCCACCGGAGGGGACGCCATCTTGAAACGCGTCCGCCATCTTGACCCGGAGATGACGTCATCGTCATGCGCGCGCACACACCGGAACCGGACGTGACGTCATCGCGATGCGTACGCACACACTGGAACCGGAACCACCGGAACCGGAACCCGAGTGATCTCCCCATGACCGGAAGTGACTGATCCAAGATGGCGGCGCCCACGGTGACCGGATGTGCCGGCATCTTGAAAAAGGCGCCAGGGTGACACTGTACACTACTTTCGTAACACTCAGAAATCTTCGGATATTTCCTTGTTTCAATTGTGCCAAATACTATTTATATTTAGATTTTATCATAATTAAAAGTTGTTATTAAAGCTTAATCAAGCATAGTGACTTTGTTGAGTTTTGCTATATAAATCAAGCATTAACTCGATCATAAGTTTTTTTTTGTTTAAAAATACTTCATGCAATATATTCCAATACATATCGCAATATATGCTTTCGCATCGCAATATATCGCAATATGAAAATTCTCTGCAATACCCACCCCTAAATCGTACACATGCAAATTTCACGTCAAACACCAATCATTTTTCAAGAGCGATTACTGTACAAACAACCTTGGTCATAAGGAAGTTCCCCTACTTTTTTTAAGAGTGTATTCTTCAGTAAAGACGGGTGGTGGGGTAGCCTCGTGGTTAACACTGTCTATCATCATGCTGATGACCGGGTTGGATTCCGCACATGGGTACAATGTGTGAATCCGATTTCTGGTGTTCCCCATCGTGATATTGATGGTATATTGCTAAAGCTGGGTAAAATCATACTCACGAGCGGATGCTTTAACCATTAGGCTACGCCATCACCCCAACAGGAGTCAATGTAATCATCTCATCTATCTGGAATCTCCAAGAAGAATAAATGGTATAAATGCTAGTACACATTACCTTGTTTCCTTCATTACACTATTTCCAGTGACTGCGTAAAACCATTCAATGAGAGTGTATTTTGATACAGCATCCTTTTCCACTTTGTAAGCAAGCGGGCCCTCTTTATCATAGAACACTATTCCGTTCACAGGCCGGACTTGTACTTGGATTGCTAGTTCTTTGGATTCAGAAGCATGCTCTTGACTGGAAGGAATGAAGAAAACATCCACATGGATGACCTGGTTGATATTACCATCGTAATCGCATGCGAGAACAGACTCCGTGATTCTTTCTTTTATCATAAGCGCTACTTTCTCATGGTCCTTGATAGGCACATACTGCATTTCCACCTTCTTAGACTTGTAGTCAATAAAGGGTACATCTTTTTCTGCAATACCGAAAAAATATGAGCCACCATCAGGGATTTTTGTAAACGCGCTTATATATTGCAGTAATTTGTAGTCATCAAACATAAAACCAACTATGTTTGCATCTGTTTCTTCCCCTTTGTAGTATCCTTTGAACTGAATTGATCTATTTTCGTTCAACACTTGTAAATCTTCAAACCGTCTTTCTCGATACAAGTCTGTTAGATGTCTTCTTTGTTTCAGGAAAGTGATCAAGGTTTGATCTGACGGATCAATTATTCGATCATCGAGGGATATCTTTGTCTTTGGGTCAGATGTAGTTAGACTCACGCCGCCCTCTACGTAGAGTACTATGAAGTCTGTGTAAGAATGGACCTTCCTGAGTAACGTGTCATCTATATCAGTATATAGTTCCTGGTTTTCATTCGCTTTCAAAGCTTTTTTCAGCTTTTTAAGTTCTTTCAGTATCTCAACTTCTTTCAACCTATTCTCCAACAAGATGTCTTGCATGTCATCTTTGTCATCCAGCTTCTGCTGCTGCTCTTCTAGCTGTTCTTTCAGACGAAAATGTTCATTTTCTTTCTCTCGTATGGATTCTTTCAAATGCTTCAACACTTCATCTCTTTCCTCCTTTAAGTCCTTTAAACCAGTGCAATAGTCACTCAAGAGTCGCTTAGTGTACACATCAGTGAAGAGACTTTTATCCTGTATAAGCGTGTGAAGCTTTTCATCTGCAAATTCGTTAAATGCGCCAGTGAAGTGGTCTTCTCGGTCACGCCCTACCAGATGTATAAGTATATGTCCAGAGTTTGTATTGCGAAGGGCAGTAGCTTTTTTCTGCAGTTCATAAGCTTTCAGAGCCCTCTTTTCCCTCTTGTCCTTTTTTGGTTCAGATTGTGTCCCTGCTAATCCATGCAGATAGTTTACGTGTATTGCCATACACAATACATTGGACTGAGTGGAAATTCTTTTGAAGATTGCAAGAGCCTCTTCTCCCCTTCGGATGTTACTCCTACAAAGAGAGATGATAAAATTTACAAATTATTGAAAGAGATATTTCAGATAATCCATAGATCAAAATCATTCTCAAATATACAACATATACAATTATGAATGTTATCAATATGACAATTATGCAACATGTATGAATCAGACGTACATTTTGTCAATAAGGTTTAAATACATGTCATCGTATTCCAATTTTGTAGATTGATGCTCAGTTTGTAGACCACTGGATTGTCTGATCAAGACTTGATTATTTACATATAGGTGGAATATTGCTGAGTGTGGTGTTGAGCAACAAACAAACAAATCTATGTCTTTGAAAGTAAAACTAGATTCCTTTCTTGAGGGCTTTTGTCGACAGAAAATATATGCAATTTCATTCACATGAAGATCACATGGTACATTCAAGTCACCACATGTGCATAATGTAATGATAGTTTGTTCTGCAATAAACAACAAAGAAACTCACGTTATACATTCCTCGTGGTACTTCTTGTCTGTTACAGGAGTTTTCTCTGGAGGGATATCATCTCCACAGTAAGCGCATCTTAACATGTCATCAAGGAATAGTTTGTATTCTAGATCGAAGATACGGCTCACTGAAACAAGAAACATACTTGATGGAAATCATTACACACATTTTATTAAAATTCATTTTACATTACAGTTGGTAAACGTAGAAGAGGCATTAAAGGTGTGGATGGGTTGTCTATCTACAAAATAAACAATAAAACAATGAAAAACCGTAGAGGAGTGGCTGGATCCGAGGCCTAGTTGCCATAGCTGCCAAAATTTGTGGCCCTTCTTAGATTTTAGAACCGTATCCGTTCTCATGGTGGACCTCAACACATCAACGTTAACGCAATTCGTGATTGTGCAGAATATGGGCCTTACATGATGTGATATAACTACAATAAAGCGGCAATTAGCCAAACATTCAAACACTCACAAGAGTGATAAATTTTAATATGCGCATCATGTTTGAATGTCTTCAAATACTTTGAGCACTAGGCTACCCCACCGCCCTATACCATGATACAAATGTGATACATTTCCACGAAGTGTTAATCCCAATTTTCAGTAACAGATAGTAACCATCCGCACAGGTATATATTGCCACATTAGTTCTTTGAGCAATCACAACTAGTGTACTTCAACCTACTTACTTATTATCATCTTATTGTACGTCAAACTCATCTATTGTATAAACTCAACTCTAATCACAATCAATCACTCTGTAAATCAACCTCCTCTGCTGAAATCACTAATCAAATATCCAATGTACATCAACCTTATTAATTGTATATACTCACTATGCAGCAATGTATATATTCTCCTTGTCTCAAATTGTTGTATCACTTGCTTGATAACGGTGTTAGTATCTACACCGAAACGTCGCACTCATTGCAATAAAGAAGTTGACTATCCATAGAACTTAGTTTTCCTTCACATAGATTCTACATGTGACAAAGTCGTCATTAGGGCTGTGTGTTGGCAAATTAATTGTATTGCAATATATTGTGATTCTGGTCCCTAATATGTATTGAGCTTATATTGGGAGCTTCAGTGTTTGACAGTGAGTGACACTGATTCTACATGCAGTGCCTATTTTCTTCATGCTAAGGTCCTAAGAATATAAATGTTATGGTTCTAATAACAGCATCTCAAAATTAGGTAGGATAGTTACTACAAATTGTATAAAAGTGAATACAAAAAAGTATGTCAAGTCTGGCGCCGCTTTAGCAATGTTCAGTCAATAGTAGGAGATAATTGCATTCTATCACACAAACAAAAGAATACCAAGGATTCTTCAGCAGAACAAAAGAATTCCAAAGAAGAGCACAAGGATTCCTTACATTCCTTCAAGTACCCTCCTCACCCGCCTCAAATCCATCCACTATCTTGTAGAGTACAGTGACATTCCAGAGTCCATGAGTCATCTGTTCCTGTTCCTAAACGATGAACTATAGTATTTCAACCCTTACATTCCAGAGTACACGTTCCAGTCACCTACTGAGCTGGGATGAGCAACATTCTAAGGATGATGGTGATATTCTATAGGATACCAGGCTTTGACCAATGAATGCACAGTGAACCATCAGGTTAAAACATTCACCCTAAGAAAAAAATCATTCTCGTCCTAGCCAGCACGGGGAAAAGACAGGTTACCAACTTGTGGAACATATACAATGGGAACCAGGAGCACAGAGCAGTTCATATGTTTTTCCACAAAATCATCATCATTTAATCAACATTATCCTGTTGTGAGTGAGTGAGTGAGTTTAGTTTTACGCCGCACTCAGCAATATTCCAGCTATATGGCGGCGGTCTGTAAATAATCGAGTCTAGACCAGACAATCCAGTGATCAACAGCATGAGCATCGATCTGCGCAATTGGGAACCGATGACATGTGTCAACCAAGTCAGCGAAACTGACCACCCGATCCCGTTAGTGGCCTCTTACGACAAGATAGTCGCCTTGTTATGGCATATCCTGTTGTGATAGAACTTGATGATTTAATTGTGCTGAGCAGTATTACATGTATATGCTGGCTATCACGTTTCGTGACACTGAAATCGCACAGAAAATGTTACTGTCAGTTTCACCTGTTGAGCAGAAGAGGTTGGGAAAACGTTCAGCAACAAAGGTGGGACACTGTCAGTTATGCCATTGTCAAAAAGGCGACCTTAGCTAGGTTTACTCAGTCTACCTTTCTCCGAGATGTCTTGTTCCATACTTATCCCAAAGTATTGGCTGAAGCAAGTCCTTATGATAAACAATATGTTCATGCCCATCTATCCCCATAACATCACAACAGCTGATAGCAGACATGCTTCCTTCTCGCCATGTTTATTTCCAGACTACTTCTGGTAGATACAATCTCGTAACCCCTCGCGCATGCGTAATTAATATCAACATTCATTATAATTGTCTGTTTTTTTCTTCTTGTCAAAATGTAGCAGTGTCATTTCTTTATCTTATAGTTAAAAGTTCAACTTCAGGATTCTTCATTTACTTTACCCTGGATTAAGTTAAGAGTGTTTCACTAGATAGAAGCATTCACGAGGCAGACTACCTTCGTGCTTCTAGGGGATAATTCTGCCACATACACAAATCACATGATACACATCGCAGAAACAGCTTTCCACTACGAAGAATCTGGCACAACCTCACTCCTGACGGCCCGCGTTTAGTCAACACATCGGCGAGATGCTTCTCCCCAGGACATCAGGACACCTTCACATCTCCATTTACAAGTTCTTGTTTGATCGCTGCCACATTGATCCGCAACCTTCTGTAATCTACCAACTTTGTTGACTGCAGGGTTTCCACTACACTCCTGTTATCTGTGATGGTGTCAATAGGAATGCTCTGGTCCTTTCTGTCTATCATGAATAAATGCTGTCAAGAAAATACAATCTTCAACAGACTCAAACAGCGCCATGGTTTCAGCAGAAACCATAGATCGCAAAACTCTCTATATTTTCTTAGCTTGCCATTAAAAAGGGCAACAATGATTGCTTTGATTCACTAGAAAAACTAAGTGTGCCCCAACACTACTTATACCGTCACTCAAATTTCCTAAGGAAGCGTCTGAGAATGCACCCATTCTCCAGTGTTTACCGGGACCAACATTTGGGAAGCATAGTGTGGACGAACCATTTTGTAACTTCTTGATGACTTTTCTTGCTCGGACATAGTCAGCAATTGTTGCTTTATTCAACTTTGTACTTAAATCTATCATTTCAAACGCTGCATCTGGTCTCGAACCTTGAACAGCCCAACTGATTCTACCCACCATTCCTCAGAATTTGTTTTGGCACCCGTGAAGAGCCACCTCCTTGTGGTGGGTGCTGGGTAATGCTAAGCACTCTTCAACCCCCCGTGTGGACCCGGGGGAATATTTGGTCCACCAACCCGTTTGCCGTTGGTTGCGCCCCTGTGTCGGTGGAGGACGGGATTCTGGTGGTTGAGGGCACTGGTTCCAGGAATAGCGTACCTTAGCCCAACACAGCACTTTGGCCCTTACGTCACCTAGACGGGTGGTAGAACAGGCCCGGTTCTATCAATCGGCTGGTCACGCCATGCCCTGTGCATGGACAACATTTCTCAGCAATTATTGTACTTTTTTGTACATTTTTGACAATAAATGTTTTTCTTTGAAATTATTATACTATGTATGTTTGCCTAGAGTCCTATGCCAGAAGGCGGTGGCTCATGGGCCAATCTAGTGATGTTGACCTCCGAATGATGTATGTCTCACATTCCTTGCCATGGGCCGAACCAGCCTGGCATTGAATTGGTAGACAAATACAGCTATTCGTGTCATATTCTCTGGAGTATACCATCCGTGTATCCCTGGTGTCAACATATTGGATATCCGGTGCTACTGGACACCGTCCTTGTTGACACTCCATGGTGGGTGGGGAGCAGGGATGGCGAATAAATTTCCTTTCATCATGACTCTCCAACAAGCTGGTTCAACTCGACATGAAAAAAGCGACGTCTAGACGAATTAGATCGTCCATCTGACACTCACTCTAACGTTGATTCCTGGGCTAGTTTTTTAGTGATTAAGGCTACTGATTTTTTGCCCCTCAGACTGAACCCATTTGCCATTTGCTATCTATGGGATTTGTGGGGAGGTGAAAAATGTCACCCGTCTCCGTAGTGGTTCACTTATGGTGGAGTGTGCACGCAGACAGCAATCTCTAAATCTTATGTCTGTCAAAACATTTGCCAACATAGAGGTTGCTGTGTCCGTGCACAAAACTCTCAATTCTTGCCGTACATTCTCCCCGCACTTAAAAGAGCAAGGGAGCTCACTGGCTAAAAATAAATTATGTCCCATCAAATCGCTGACTTTTTTCAGTGCGGGGCCGGTTAAGGCCAAGGTCGTCAATGGCGAACGAGCACGACACAATTCTGTTTGCGATGAATAAATGTACGTAAACTCATTATGACAGTGAGATGTAAGTGTCTCTGAAAGAATGGGGACTAGCGCGCTGACAGGCGCCATCAGTTCAATACGTTTTGGTGAATGTCGTTTGTGTGTACTGTGAAATAAACAAGAAAATGGGTGAGTTACGGCTACAAATTCTGAGCAAGGATTTTGGCTCGGAATCGAGAAATCACGATTTTTCGAGCTTCCGAAGAACCTAGCTCCAAAAGTTCTGCTTCGATTTTTGTGCTGTATGTCTCATTTTGTAGGTAAATCTATTGGCTTGAAATTTGTGCAACTTTAAATGGGATAAATACAGTGAGTATTGTTGTACTCGCCCTGAAACGAACCTGGTGTGTTGACCTCGTTACATCCCTTTCCTTTTATATAGTAACAATATCCCGTCAGTGACAGTATATACCTTGATGGCAGTTTTTAGTGTTACAAGCCCCTGTGTTTCAAATCACGAACTATGAAGGACCTTTTTAATGGTATCAGTTCTCAAGTAATTATTGCATTTTTAAAAGAATTAGATTTTTTAAATGATTTGTAAATAGATAAATATTTTATGATTGGAAGTTTGAATTAGTAACTAACATTGTTAGTGGCTGTATCCTCGAGGGGGTTGAAGTACTGTAAAATAATTGTCCTCCTGA